CCGCCCCCCGCCCCCCGGGGCTTATGCAATATAATCAGTTAAATCTCTTACATATTTTTAAAGGTTAGGAGTTTTGTAAAAATGAACTCAAAACAAATCAATCCTTCTCAAACATTATTTTACGAATTAGCTTCTTTTTCTGAGATCTGATTGGCCAAATGCTTGTTCTTCTGCAATTTCATTAGCTCTTCAAAGCAGTGCGATTTAAAACACAAAAGGGTGTGATTTGTGATTAAATTGCACTACTGAGAGCCAATCAGATTGCAGGATTTGCAAGTGATCATCCCATCCGTTACTATGGTGACTTTTTTCTCATTCCCATCCACTCAGATGTTTCATTCTTTCACTAAGGATCATCACAAATGAAACTGCTGAGAATAGGATATGACTATACTGTCATAATGCTGCCCAACAGAGCTTGGGTCATAGGAAGGGTGGATAGTGCTATCTGACAGATAAATCTTATCCAGTGGATAAATTTATTAGATGACAACATCGAGTCATCCACTGGATTAGGATTTATCCATAATATAGTGCTATGCACCCTTCATACAACCAGGCCCAGGTACATAACTGTATTTTTACATTATTCTGATGTACATGTTTACATATGTATACATGTACATATACAAAACTCAAAAATCATTGTCAGATAAAAATGGCTAAATTATCCAAGCTAAGACTGAGGGGTATTCTGGGTAATCCTGGGCATTTGGAGATTGTTTGCATAAAGACACATGCATGAAGAGTGACGAAATGCTTTGTTCGTTTTAATGGTATCAATAGCTACACAACTGCAATATTTATAATTTCATTTGCCCTATTACTGCAATATTTGATGCTATGCAAACTCAGACATTTCAATAGCTTCTTGTGAAATTGTTTTTTCACTACCATCAGTCCAGAACAGGTACCGACTGATTATTTTTGATCCACAGCAATGAGAAACCAAATTTCAGCATGCAGCTCGTAACTAGCGGGTTCACATAATATTGAAACCCAGAACACCCTTTGGTCTTAGCCTTTCAGATGATTTAACCTTTTTGAACCCGACAACAACTTTTGAATTCGATGTATCCAAATCACTCATTACATCCCAGTCCTAATACTTCAGCCATGTTGGTATTTTCAGATGCTGATCGGCTGGTACTGAAGTTGCTGTACATCTCAATTATCTGAGGCCTTATATCACCAATCTCTCAGAGCCACAGTAACCATTACGGTAGATCACAGGTCTCATGTCTTAATACATTATTATACTACTTCTCTCAACAGAGGAAACCCAATTTCAGGATTTTTAATTAGAGTTACCTTGATTAAGCCTTGGAGTAAAATCGCCTTTATCTTTTGCACATGTAGCTCGCAGTATGTACAGTCTGAGAATCTTCACTTGGTGGATGGAACACTAGCACAACTCCTTTAATATTTTCTTTCTTTCCATTGAAAAAGCAGTCCATTCAATTCACGTCAGCATTTTCCCATTTATTGTAACAGAAGTCCTCACTCATTTGATTATTGGCAGGTCACACAAGTAACATGCCTGGTTGATGTCTTAGTAAAACATTGCTGATAGATGTACATAAAGAGCTGATTAAGAATTACAATTCTTCTTTCCTTCTGCTTTTCATTTTATCTAACCTTTTCTGTAGGTGGTCGTTTACTGTCTGCAGTTCACTGACTTCGTCCTGAGCCTTTCGAAGCTGAGGGGGAAACAACATTAGATAAACAAAACAGCTGCTACGATCTTACATCCCTAAATTGAGCAATTATATATAATTAGTTAGCACTTAATTAAGGAGATGGAGTTTCAGCTCATAAATGTCGGCTATATGAGAAATGAAATTACAAAGCAAATCGAAAAACCGTGGGCACCTAGAAATATTTCAAGAATGTTTAATAGCCAATCAGAAGCGTTATTGTCATCTTTCCATTATCTTGTGGTTAGAAAGTCCATTCTGATTGGCCAAAGAAGAATAGAACATTCCTGGAATATTTCTAGGTACCCATTTTTCAATTTGCACTGTAAACATTAAATAATATTAAATATTTTAAAAGTATTTAAAAAACCAGTTTATATAACACAAGACACTTTTAAAGTTGAAAATTTGAAATTGGAGTTGTGCATCATAATCCTTGTATGGACAAAAGTGTAAAATTTTTGAAGATTTTACCTCACGATTTAATTTCCTATTTTCTGATTTAAGATCATCCTCTGTGCTAACCTAAATAAAAGAAAAAGAGAAAGTAAAAATTTTATATTCATAAAATATTTTAAATTCAATTACCCTATGTTATAATGATGTCACATCAAAACAAACTATTGTTTTAACGCTAGGGATCATGGTCGCTGGAGGGGGATGGAATGACAACAACACATCTTAAATCACAATGAAATTAGGTTTATGAGCTGGTGAAGGCAAGAACAACTAAATCATACTCTAAATATCTCGAAAGAAGAGAATTATTAAGCTTAAATTTAGCCTAAATTTCTATCATTTTAGCCGATGTAAATAAAACGTGATGTCATGATGAAATAGGGTGTTTGCAGGGCAATCAGAAAATTTTCAAACTTGGCATAAACATACCCCAAATGTTCTTGTTCAAAAAATGAAATACTTACAGCTGCTTCTGCTTGTGTTTTGTAACGTTTTACTTGGCTTTCCAGTCGCATAACCTTGAACAAAAATATCCATTATATTACTACTGACAAAACATGCGACACAAAGACAAATACTAATAATATATAATGTACTAATATCAGGCATCCCAGCCACTTTTTAGACAAATTTGATAGGAAATATAGGCTGTGCAAGTTCTAAATATAGGAAAATATAGGAGTTTTTCCCAAAAATATATGCACTTTATAGGAGCTAAAATAGCTTTTCAGTGGCGCAACCAGGGATCTTGCAGGGAGGGTGCACAGGCAATGATTTATTTGCAGAACCAAATAAGCCATAAAAAAGACAGAACCAAAAAATAAAAAAAACGCCCAATATGATAAACAGTGTAAAATGTAAATGTATCACTCAGCAGTCGTCCTATTTATAGGAAATATAGGAGGTTTTCTTTAAATATAGGCTCTTTATAGGATCCTATACAAATTATAGGAAATATAGGATATGTAGGAGGTCTGGGATGCCTGTAATATTCAAGGAATCAGTTTCACAATGATCAGAAACATCAACGTTAAAGTAAAGAATGCACAACTTCAACAATACAAACACTTTGAAATCAAAATGGACCTTCACTGGAACACGTGAATATTCTGCACAAAATAGAGGCCAACCCTGAGCAACAGAGAACTCAAAACTGGAGTATTCGACATGAAATGTACTGTCTGACAGTAAAGGACTAAAGTTTTGTTCCACTTTGTCTCCTGAGCTCATTTCTGCAAAGTATTTTGGATGCATACGGATTGAATAGTCCAATGATATTAATATCCTATTTATGTATGTAAACTGAAGCCCACAACACCCAAAAGCTCCCTCAGTAACCCCTTCACCCCTAGGACATATACAGTATGAACTTACCACTCCTTCAAGTCTGGCATTTTCTTGCTCTGCTTTTTGCAGTTTTATTCTAAAGTCATTTATTTGCCTGGTAAATTCTCCTAATAGTTCACAATGAATAATATAAATTATTATGTTATTCTGCAAGCAAAGAAAGAGATGTACAGGCAAATACATTTACAGATAGGATACTTGAAGCATAAATACTTTGACCAAGTTATTATTTACCAAGCTTTTGATTATTTCAAAATCTCTAAAATGAAGCATTGAGTTCAAATACACTGAGTGATCGAAATAAATCTTATTTGATAAATCTTAAATCTCTTAAGTGTTCATGGTTTAAGTGTCCACACTGTAATACAATGTAGAGAATCACCAAAAGAAGGGAGGGGGGGGGAGGGGTAGAGGGATTTAGATTTAAAACTATAGTACACAACCATGTAATGTATAAGACAGATCAAGAGAGATATTCTTAGGAGTGTTACATCGTCAAGTTTATGCCCCCCCCCCCAGCCCATCCCTTTCCACAGTCCTAGAATATACTGTATGTGGTTTAATATACATACTCCTGAGTTCCTCCAAGTCCGCCGTGATAGCCTTGGGATGGTCTTCTTCTCGTTTAAGGATTAATAATTCATCTTGAAGTTTGCGCAACTAATAATAATAATAATACTATATAAATACTTTACATTTAACAGTTGAATAGTATATGACTGACACAGTGGGCGTATTAGTGCAATCAAATATGATGTCTTAAAATTAAACAAAATTTCAAAGTTTAAGTTCAAGAAAAAACTCTGAATCAAGGGTTAATTTTTCATATCCTGTAATGCCCCATAAGCCCCTGGTTTAGGCCTCATCAGTAGACCCCTTACCAAAATGGCGGCCTTACCAAAATGGCGGTTAAAATAAAACTGAGAGAAAAACCAATACCAGCACTGGAAAGAGCACCTTTATTTTAGTAACCCCACTAAGATTCATTTTGTCTGGTGTTATATTGGCTGAGAAAACTCAGTTAATCAGTCAATAAGTTTGTCAATGAAAATTGACAAATTTACAGAAGTCTGTATGCCTTGGCGTATGGTATACCCAAATGCAAATGCCTTACCACTATCCCACCCTTGAAGCCTAACATTCAGTGGAAAAGTGGGGACATGGTCGGGTCAAATGTAAACACTTTATTTACCTCAGCTACCAGAGCTTCTTTCTCTTCAGAAACTGACACCTTTTCACTACTGTCGTGGCTGCCTGAGCGGCTTCGATTTGATTCTGATACACTACCTCTGTCTGTTTGAGTACAAACCACAAATAAAACATGACTATGATTTTCAGAGTTTTATCATTTTTGAAACAAGTGTGTGCTTTCAGAAAAGATCAGTAACAGCAAGGCTAAATCAGAAAACCTACAAYGTAGACAAATATGTATCATATAGCTTAGACAGTTCTAGCTCTCTGAATGGTCAAAAATTGTTCTTTATTAGTGAATCGTTGCTGATGCCATTCATGCATGCAGCAAACTTTTCAAAGAGGTTTAAGAAAACAGGAAGAAGCACCAAAAGCACTCAAGAAGGGTGACAAGCACTTGCCTACAGCTCGTGCTACAGCTCTGGCTGCAAAAAAAAATGGGGCTTTTCAGATTTTGTGCACCCTCCATAGGATAATCAAAGCTACGTCTCTATGGCTTTATAATTATTATTAATCCAGTTTGTACCTGATCCGGATACAGCCATCCAACTGTTAACATCTGGATGGGTCGATTCTTCCTCATCTTTTGAACTTTCATTAAACATTGACAAGCCCCTTTCCTACAGGCCAAACACAGAAATGATAATCAAACTGCAATATACCAATAATTGCAGAGGTAAAAAATAAGAGAAAAAATACTGTAAAATCGTGGTCATAAGCTGTGGATGGAAAAAGAGGTTGGGATAAGCAGGAAACTGTTATTTATTTATTTATTTATTTTTTCCCAATCAATCTTTTATGTGTTGGGTATTTTTGATTTTCTAAAATTCTAAAATTCTGATCAGTTTATTTCATGTCTTATAGTTTTTATATTTTATGGGCTTTTATCATGTAAAAATTCCAACTAGCTGAATATATGAGAAAAAATGTTAGAGCCAATTAGAATTGAGAAAATTAGCAAAACTGATGTGCTACTTTTCCTCTTAAAATTATGGATTTCCAGGCCACCAAATAAAAAACAAAACATTGTGAATAAAATATACGCTTTTGATAACAGCGACACAGTAGTTAATGAGTTTTATATTTTTAATGCAATAACAGGCATGTTTTCTTATTTTTCGCTGGTCAATTTCCGCATGCTTCATCACACGGTCCTCAGTTTTGCAGTGATGTCATTTCTCTACGTGGCTATTTCAGACCAGCCGGAAGGCTCTCCAAAATTCACAGGACAGAAGAATAATTACCATAGCTGGAAGGAGCATGTTAAGAAGTTTAAAGGACATAAGTTTAAAAATTGCAAAGATATTTTCTGGAAAACTTTAAAATCACTTTTTTGTTTCAGACTTTACCCTTTTACAAATTAATTCAGCACGCTCGCTCCAACTATAGTAATATTTTTTCTGTCATTACTAATTCAAACATACCTGATAAAAGCTCATTGTGTTGAAAAAATATTGAATGTATAATTTAAAGCCCATGCACTTACTGATAACCAATTATCGCGGAATTCTATCGCATCTTTGAGACGCTGGATTTGTTCATCTCTTTCTTTTATTGTCCTGAGATGTCTATCACATTCCTACAATCATGACAAAAATATAAGTATTTGATAGTAGCATTCCAAGTGGTTGAATAATATTTAAACCTTATTTGACATTTTAGGATGGAATGAAACTGGTGGAATACAGGTGGATATTTTTTCGTTACCATTTTTTCGAGTCTGCTGAATCAAAATACAAGGTTGAGAAAAAATGACCAACCGTATTCCACCCTAAAATGTCTAATAAGTTATTTATTATCCAACTGAGCTTATTTTTCCCCAAAAAAAGGCTTCAAAACAATTTCCTTCAACCAGTTTTCAAAACTGGTTTCTTATTGTACGAAATAAGTTACCTAGAGTATGAATATTGCAGGATATTTGTACTTGCTCCAGGCTTCCTCCTGCATTATTTGTACTATATTGTTGGAAAATACAGTGCGGCACTGTAATCTCAAATCCAAAATATCTAAACTTTCCATTGTTTAATCAGGGCTTAAAATAATGGCCACCCAGATTAGTACTTAATGTCCAGCCAAATTTTCTCTTTGCCACTCATTTTGAACAATAATGCCGAGTCAGAAGTGAGGTACAACCTTGAGTTAAAACTAATTTGGCCTATCATCATGACTTGTTCTTCAATGTAAGTCCTGTTTAACACTACAATAGAGGCTTTGCACAGTCACGTGAGGGCATTCATGATACGAGGCAGGAACAAATGAATTTGCTCTTATCTGGTTTACATAAGTAAGAATTCATTTTCCCAGGGAGAAAAGAGTATTGGTGGTGCCTACAGTCATGCACACATGTCCACCCTATGGTGTCCCCTGTTCCTGTGGGGCAGTCCCTGAGTCCCCTGGGGTTCAGGCAATGCATCATGGGGGTCATCATGTTATGGTGCAAGGCCTCTATTTTACCCTAGATATTTGGACCCTTATTTTGAACCTTTTCTGTGGTTCCCCCAGGACGTTCAAGGTAATGGGACTTCACGGTAGATGAATAATGAAATCACCTTTGTTTTACTCATGGGTTCAGACCCTGGGGGAGGGGTACTCCCATATATGGACTATAYGGGGATGATCCACTGAACAGGGTATGGTTTTTCRAGCTTCTTGTCATAAACAGGGTATGCAATTTCACTCAAGTTCCAAGTTCTTCCTGAGTTTCCTGTAATATTCAAGGCTTCTACTTTCGTATTGACCGGTTATTATAACTGGTTATTATGGTCATAAAAAACCATACGCGCGATGACATTTTAATTGAAACAGGAACCCAGTGCAATAAATTATATCTTTTATCATAAACAGGGTCTACAAATTTGAGTTTTTCTGTCATAAACAGGGTACCCCTTTCAGAATCCCAGCAGAACACCCCTACCCAAATTCTGGCGGAGTACCCCCCAGGGTTCAGACCCCATCTGAACTCAAATTTTTTTCTCAGTTTTTCTCTTTCGCTTAGCTCGTAATTCTCATCTTATGTATGTCTAGTATTCATTCTCACCTTTGTTTTATCTTTTAGTTCATTTTTTATCTCACAGGATATTTCCTCTTCTTCTGCCATTCTATGGAGAAAATGAATAGAAAATTATCATCATGAACATCTTGGAGTAAGTATATGGTCCAAAGGGTTAATTACTATTACATACATGTATTACTAACACATATTTTATATTACCTGTCTTTGAGACAATCCACTTGGTATAGCAATGCTTGTTTCTCATTGTCAAGCTGGGCTATGGATACCATTGTCTTTCGGTATTTGTCTTCTGCATCACGAAGATTATCCTGTAGCAACGACATCATTAACACCCAATTTTAACAAAACTAAACACATCCTCTTTCATACATGTAATATTATGTGACCATGACAGACCAAGATACCTAGTGCATCACAATAGGCCCTTTGCAGTTAACGGTCACGTGTCTGTACTGGAATGCAAAATTTTTGTTTTCATTTTAAATTGGTGATTCTTTTTAGCTACTTGTAAAGAACTGAATGAAAACACGTGTATCCAGTGTGCTACGAAATGCAGTTTTATTACGATCTCTCGAAACAGGTTGTAGAAAGTTTGTTTGCAGTCCAGTAAATTTCACCCATGGGAATCAAAATGTTCATTCATTTGCTCTCAGTGAATTAATCAGCACGTGATTGCTTAGCTGCAAAGGGCCTATTATCCTGTATGACATCATCAACACCCATTTTTAACAACAACAAACATTTATATCTTCTTTCATAATAATATCCAGCTGATCTGAGAAAAAGTTTTATTCAATCAGAAAAAAATTTGCAAAACTGAGTCCTTTACATGTAATTACAAAAAGGGTCCATCATGATAAGTAAATTTCAGGATTTCGCATAAGGTACATGTACATTGTATTCATGATAAGAAATAGACTTAACGATTTTTCACACATTTAAATTGTTCCATGGTCGTTGGACTAGAATGGTCATGGGGCAGACTGAGGATTTTCTTAAAGAGGGGGTTCTACATTAACCAAAAAAACCACGAGCAGTACATTCTGTTTAAAAAGAAATAGCCTGCATAATGGCCCAAATGGGAAGGGAAGGGGACTGGGGAGAGGAAGGGGAGGGGGACTGGGGAAAGGGGCGAAGGAGAGGGAGGACCGATTATTCCTACATGTACGAATGTTCAGAATCCGAACATTAATTTTGATTGGTTGATTCATGGAAACAGAAATAAACATGACTTTATTCTTTCATTTGATTGGTTGAGAGTTTGCATATTAATTAGAGGGTGGTAGGAAAAATCGAGGGGGTTCATTGCAGGCCCTCCCTCTCCTTCCTTCCTCTCCCCAGTCCCCTCTCCCTCCTCTCCCCAGTCCTCAATCCCCTTCCCTTTGGGCCGCTATGCAGACTAAAAAAGAAATTCAAATTATCATAGGGAGGGAGGTTGCAACCCCCACAACCCTCCCCCTGGATATGCCCCTGATGAGGATCCTTTGATCAGATATTGTATAGGTAGTTTTCTTAACTATTCAAAATTAATAGTTTTTAGTCCAATGCAATATAGTTCAATACCTGTGCAGATTTAAGGACCTTCTCTGGAACAAGTGGACCATTTGCTTCAACTTTTTCATCATTGACAAGATTACTGATTGCACCAGCAGATACAGAGCGACCAACACCATTATTAGTCATCTATGACACAAAACACAAAAAATGTTTCAACTTTAATTTTTATTCTTGACAGAACTAAAGGGTTTCACAATACTGATCCTAGCTAAGGAGTATGAGCACTAAGTACAAAGTAAAAATCTTTTGTTCTAAAACAAATTTCCTTTGAGCCTGTACCTGTATGACAGTGTAACAAGATCATGTAAGTGGCCCTTCCACAATCATTTTGTAACCAGATAGTTGCTTACTTTCTCATATTAGATCTTGTTTGACGCTTAGAGCATGTAGAAATGTTTACAGTAGCTTAATTAAGCCTGTTCTGCACTATGCTGATACAGCATGGGGGGAGCTTTAATTCTGCCGGGAATAGTAAACGATTACAGAGATTACAAAATAGGGCAGCGAGTATCATTGTTAATAGGGAGAGTTCCGAGGAGGCTCTGCAGGTCTTGGCAAGGGTAGAATTAAAAGTCCAGAAAAATGCACAAATGCTTATTGATATTTAAATGCCTGCATGGCTTAGTTCCGGTACAGTATATCTCCCATATCTCAGTGATTACTTTGTGAGGAATTGCCACTTTCACTCATGTAATACTAGAAGGAAAAGGGACTTACATCTCCACCTGCCAAGGTTAACTCTTGGTAAGAACATTTAGATATTCTGGGACTCTAGAATTTAATAAACTAACGAAGGAGATAAAGGAGATCACGTCCTTAACTACATTCAAACATCGTTTGAAATTGCATTTTTTAGGTATCGAATATTTTGATAAATTTTTAATAATTATGATTATATCGAATTTTACTAGTCATAAAAATGTTTGAAATATTCATATTTATTCTAATTTATACTTATATTTGTAAATTATTTATTATTTATTATATATTTATTGTTTACAGGGTCCCTCTGGATATCAGCCAGGTAGCTGAATGGGCCACCCTGTTTAAATAAAGTCTTTGATTGATTGATTGATGTTTACAGTACTTCACAATGTGCAAAATTGTATGACTTGTCATGCAAATTGTGTTATTTTGCGTGTGGTTGGGAAGTACTATGAGATTAAAGTAATGCACTCCTTTAGTAACAGATAACTAGAGTTACTTTGCACTCAGTGCTCATGTTCCAGAACTGGGTTCCCTGTGGTTTTACTAGCCATATATTTTATAGTTGTGCAGAAGTAGTTAAATGCAAAAAAAGAATATACAGCTATTTCAAAAAAGGTTGGCGAAGGTTTTGTTGCATGCTGTTGTATACCAAGGCCTAAATGCATTATGCGGGCGTGAATTCAATCTGCAAAAGACCACAACAATATGGGATTTTTTCAAAATTTGACTGCATGTTTTTCCACCATATTTTCTTGTGCTGACATTATTTACCCATGAATATAGTGCATTTTGCATGTCAAGCTTGCTAAGTAACATGCAAAATGCAGAATGTAACATGCAAGATGAAACAAGACCCTGGCCAACCTTTTTCGAAATATCTGCATACTTCTGGATAAAAAAAGGTAATTTCGAAAAAAATTTGCGCTCGATATACCATCATGTAAAAACATTTCACTAGTATAAACAAAAAGTCACTTAAGTATTGGACTATTAATAACTAATGTGTGTCAATCTTGAGGCCTGATCTGTAAACATCACAAAGTTTTGGAGCTACATGCAAAAAGAATTCTTACCTTGAACTGTTTGTCAATTTCATCCTCAGCCTTCAAAGAAAGAGGATTTAAAATGATATTCAAAAAACACAAAGTACTGTACACCTGGGACAAGCATGTGGAAATGCAATAGACCCCTTGCATGTGATGTCAAAGCAGCTCGATCTGGGGGACAAAACAAAAGAATTCCAATCTATGAGAATTGGAACCTACAGTATTGTTTTGTTCCCCAGATTGAGCTGCATCCCAAAGTGCTGCAAGGAGTCTATGCAAGTATACTTATCAATTAGACAACAGAAAGTCATGCGCCCATGGCGTTATATACGCACGAGAGAAAATATAAAGAACGATCAACAAGCGTTAAGAGTGTCACGAGGCATAGCCGAGTGCACTCTAGCTTGTTAAGAGTTCTTTATATTTTCTCTAACTAATATATTGTGAAAGGGCATAAATAATTCAAAGAGTGGCATACGTACTGAAATTGGAGCTTGTTCAACCTCGAAAACCTGAGTCAACAAACTAACACCACTAAAAACTCAAAAGGTTTTATGTACTTACACCAAAACAAATACATTTAATTATAAAGTTATAAATAATTGATGGGGAAAAATACTTGACAGAAATCAGTCACAACAAGCCTTACTATTGGATACAGAATTGTTCTAACTTACCATTTTTTTACATAGAATTTCTCAGTCAAACTCACTCCAATCTTAAAAAAGTTTGATAGAACATGAAATTATCTTACAGACTTAACATTTACCTCTTTTTGCTGGCGCTCTAACTCTTTCATTCTTATATTTCTAGCTTCTGCTCTAGCTGCTCTTTTGGCAGATAATCGTGCCTCAGCCTGAAAAACAAAAACACTATGACATCAGTAAAGATATAATTACCATACATGTATGTCACGTAGGGTGAAAGCCATAAAGATATAAGTAAATGATCATAAACTTTTATTTGATATTTTAAACAGACACTGAGCTGATCAAAGTCAGGGAACAGTAGAACAACCTCTGGGCTGATCTAAATCAGTTCAATGCTAACTCACACATTTAACCCTGAAACAAACTATGAGTTGATCCAAGTAAGGGCATGGCTAACACACATTGAACCCTAAAACAACTTCTGGGCTTATTTAAATCAGGACACATCTCACAGACTAAACCCTGAAATAACCTCTGGGCTGATCTAATTCAGGTCAGGGCATGACATTAGCATAGCAATATTTAAAACAAAGTCAAAAAATCCTGCTACAAAATGTTGTATTTTACAATAAATCAAATTATTACTGTATACACAGAGTTTATCCTGAAATAAGAGTATCATTTTCTATATTCCCTACAAAGAAGTACCAAGAAGTTCGGACATTGTTCTAGGATTTCTGTACAGTTGTAATGACTTTTAAACAAATCATTTACTCAGTTTGTTTAGTCAGCTCAAAGCAAAATATCATTTGTCTAACTTGATTGAAGCCTTTCCTACTGCTGTTTGGAAAACTAACTCAAGAAATCAATCAGAAATTTTTTTCAAGAGCCAGTGAATTTGTATGGGGTTCTGAAAAAAATGGCTGACTTTTGGTTGCTATAACACAATCCAACACATTTTGGGCTAGCACTCAAGAATCACTTGGTATACAACACCTAGTGAGCTGGTATATCATACATGTACATAATGGAATAACAATACTGAATGAAAATATCAGTAACAATATTCTAGGAAACAGCATAACAGTTCTTCAAGAACAATCTTTATGACAACGTCTAGTAGGTATATTCAAGTACAGGTATTGTACATGCTGTTCAATATACTCCATTAACACTGATAAAGGCATTGATAATAACATGCCACTAAACAATAAAGCATATCTAGGAATATGTTCATGCTTTGTATTKATATGAACCCACACTGTGGAACTATAAAGTGCTATGCACTCAACTCAAGAGGAATTTGAACAAGACATAATTCCAAGCTATCAACCCCAAGACACACATCTAGTCAATACAACACTCAATTATGAATCCAATACAATATAAAGAATGACAGCTTTATATTATATCGTTTATTACTTTTATCAGACACAACCAATGTATGTTGGCAGTGTTCTCAATAAAGGTCACATGAAATAACATCGAAGACTCTGTCAAATGATGCTATCAACAAGTCCTTGTTACGATAAAAACATCAAGTTAGGTTGTAACATGGACGATTTCTGTACTCAATACAATAAAATCATTAGAAAAATCCTAACTTAAATTCGGCCCGTGTAGGAATCTTTCAGATGAATATTAAATATGATTTTTGGAAATCTTTTACACCCACAAAGTTTAATCTTACGAAAACAATTTACCAGAAAGAAAACCGACTCTCACATCTCGACCATGAAAAGACATTGTTCTAGTGATAATATTTCAAGCTAATTCAATCAAATTGAAATCATTTGAACAGGACTTAAAACAGATTTGACTGTGTATTCAATCGGAACCGATCAAAAATCTCGAACAATATACGATACAAAAATCAGATTCATTAAAAATGACGGCCAAGCCTGTAAATTAGGAGTAGGCACGAGAGAAAGGTTATTGATATTCCCTCAGCACGCTACGTCCATCAAAAAGACAGGAAAAGCATTATCGAGCTAAAACGCTATACTTAACTGAGCAAAACATAGTAAAGGATCGGACTTCTAGTTAAGATAATACTCCTCAAATTGTCACCCAGTTGATAAAAATTTCCCATCAAAGTCATCGTATGGAATTTTAACTTACTTCATGTGCGATTTGATTCAGAGTTTGATCTTCTGTAGCTGACGACCCTGTACGGGTAAGTCTCCCTCTTCTAGCAGCTTGTGAACTCATGTTTGAAAGTTAAATCAAAGTTGCAGAGARAGATGATTTTTCTTCGAACTTCTCTTCCCCTGAGCAGTCAACAGTCAACAGCAACAGTTCCTTTCACAAACTTTTGGCTTTACATCGGYAATTCGTCTTTTCAGAGGTCGTTTGAAGATTTGTAAAACAAAACAATGTTTCTCCAAGGATCCCTTAGCTTGAATTAGTTGTTAGAAAGTTTCTTGGGTGTTTTTAAGAGGAGTAAAGTGAAGTATTTCTTGCCCATGTACAAACTTCCGACATGGTTGAATGTCCGTGGAATAGCAGCAAAATTCCTGCGCACGCATCAGTATTTAYTATCAACGCTGACTTGGAGTCAGTGGGCTCAATACCAAAAATGGGGTGCGGTGCACCCCCTCCCCTCAAAAAACTGTATAACGAAGTATAATTGATAAACTAAGTAAAAAATGCTTCAGTTTGCGTCCAAAACTGCTCATAATACGTTTCGAATTTTAAGCGTATATTTAGCAATTATTCGCCGAAGGCGAAGTGAATATSGGGGAATATTTACCGAGACGCGAGTCTTCGAGCGGCGAGGTAAATATTCTCCATATTCACTGAGCTTTAGGCGAATAATTGTTTTAGCATATACCAACTTGTGTACAGAGTAACTTATTTTAATATCATACAATAATTCAATAAAAGCAAACAAACAGAAACTTTCAGTTTGCGTGACAAATTCCAAGGGTCTTTCTCCCGGATTAACCTCGTTCCCAAGCACTATAACTTATCATCTATATTTCTATATCTTCATGTATTTCATTAGTGCTACGTGGTCCACATATTCTCATCTTAATTATTTATGTGTAACCTGAAGGCAATGGGTGAAAAATAAATGAAATAAAAATGTTAACGGGGCCCTAATGAACCTCAACCGACCCCTTGTCTCCCGTAACTGGAAAGGACGCTTCGACGCATGCGCTTCTTTTTCATCTTAAGAATCACGCGATATTKTCTTCGGCGATTCCCGAGTCACGGCTGATGCCAAATATCCCGAATCACGTAACCTTTACTTCTAGTTTTCCGGTTCCCGCGCTAAATTTTATCTGTTTCAMGGCTTCCGCGAATACCCTTCCAATGATAGTAATTGTAATTTTATCTCCATAATTTCCCAACGAATTAGTTGAAGGGAAAACTGTACAATCTCGGAATGGCTAATAATCCCCTAATAAATATTTCACTTCACTGTCTTTATAGCTGATAATACTACATCCTACAGATAACTACGGATGTCCCTCTTCGTTCTGTCCTTTCTTCTCTGGGCTTCCTGTGGAAAATTTTGGAATATTTAGACACAGGTACCGTAAATCCGGGGGGCTTATTTATTTCAGGCACGTTCGAGGGAGGGCTTATTGGAGAGGGGGGCTTAATTGAGAGGGGAGGGGGGGGCGCTTATTGATTTAGTCGAAACGCAGTGTGTAATATGATTGTAAGTCAGGATTAAACGGAAGCATTACTATTGACCGTCTCGCATAATCTGTAGTGATGTACATGGCATTTTCATTATTTGATTCACCTGTGTTAGTCTCTCAAGTATGATTTAAGATTATTGTGAATAGCAAAACTAAAACACGGTAAGTTAACAAAGCAAGCTAAAAAGAAATGTTCTGAACAACCAAGACTTTAATAAATCACCTTTAATCAGCACACCTGATTCTTTAGTCGTGAAAGGGCGAGGGGGGGCTAAAAAGAGAGGGGGGCCTTAACAAATTTCTTCCTTTAAAAAGGAGGGGGGGGCTTATAAGAGAGGGGGGGCTTATTTGAGAGGGGGATGGCTAAATAGAGGGTTTACGGTAGCTCACTATTAGCAAAATACACGTGTTTTGTAAAATGCATTCAGTCAAACTGTTGAATAGTTAGATAAATGTATCTAACTTAGATAACTATTTAGTTGACGTCWCCTAACATAGTAAAAGCGCGCCAAATAACGGTCATTCTAATCCGGGGGGTTGTTTTACCAGAGAATGAGTGAATAGACATTCATTTGTATCATCGTTTCTCCCCCTGATCTCAGTAGCGGTTTACTCGTAGTTTCAAATTTATGTGAGGTCAGCTAAAATAGTAACTAACTTATCCAATTTAGGTGACGTCAACTATTCAACAGTTTGACTGTGAATGCACTCTAGACCGCTCAAACAGGAATGAACTTAGCAGGGCTCAAAATACAAAACTTTTTTAGCCTACCATAGTAAAGGAGCATGGTAAAAGGAGGTCATTCCAGTCAATTTTGCATGCCATTTTTTTATTCATCTGGCAGTGCATCCTTACTTTGGCCTGCCAAACCTGAAATTTGTCCTGTCATTTGGCCATTGGCAGGCCGCTATTTCGAGCCCTGCTTAGACTGCTCAAACCAGTTAAACAGGTATGACATTAGACTCCACGTGGACATAAGATTTTGGCCGCGTGACAGGGCTGTGCATCGATAGAATCGACCAATAGGATTACTAGGCGCCAAAAAGAGAACGAGGTACAAAGTTCATTCATGGACTCGTGGTAAAACAGGGCAACCGAAAACATAAACATTGTACATTACGTTTCATTTATAGGACGCGAGCTTAAGGGAAACATACATTTTGTTCAAATTGTGTACTTTTGACCAAATAASTAAAGAAAATGACTGAATCTCAAGACGTATCAACACCCAGTGATTGTACAACCTTTTTAGAATTTGCCGATGTCTTGAATATTCCTTTAAATCAAGGATATCTGAATCGCATAAGCGAGCAGATCAAAAACGAAACTCAGTTTGGTCTCAACGCTCTGGACGTAGGAGTTAAAGATTGTAAAACCCATGAAAAATTCAACGAAAGAAGAATACAGAATGCTCTTTGGCGAGCTTGGTGGCGACAGAGATCTACTCGCTTTAATTCTAGACAAAAAATACATCCTCGTGAACTTGMAGAACAACAACTCGAATCAGTCGGTGAAGAGATAAACCTTCTTTGGGGCAGCGTTATAGGTGATATTCCTACCGAATACTCCATTCCAGATGATCTTGAAGCTCATGAACTCCCAGTCATCGGCACATACGTAGATCCCTATATCATTCCTGGATTTTCGTACAGAGTTCGTTTCTGTGGGACCAAACAACAGAAGGATTACTTGTTTGATGGGAAAGCTTTGAGACTAGACCGCATTGGTGCTGGTTACGGCAAGAGGCTTACTTTTGAAGATCAAGATATTCTGGACAGTGAGAATTTCTTCTGGTCTGATAGTAACCCCGAAGGAGGATTTGCTTTCTCGATAAACGTCCTCAGCGAGGGTCAAAGATTCAAGGTATTTGACCGCCTCAACCAAGAAGTCGGAGAGGTCATAGTTATYGAGGGAGATTCACGATCCAAAGCTTTGACTTCGAGAATTGACCACACAGGAATCAACCTTGAAGTGCGTGTGAATCTTAGAGGCAATATGGCCTTTCTGTCATCAGATGGTGTTCCCGAGGCTCTCCGTGGTAAAAACAGTGAAATATTTGTAACAGGAAAAGCGAACATGATCAAAGCACCTCAAAGCAAGAGTGCTGTGATGGATGAAATCACTGAAGTTACAATCTCAGGAGTGGGGGCTTGTATACTACGTCAGGCATGATTTAATAGTACTAAAAATAAATATATAATAAATATCTATACATCAGGCATCGCCTWGGTGTATTTTCAATGTGTGAAGTAAAATAGTGATGATATGCTTTCTCTCAGCAGTACCATGGAATATCCCACTAGTCACCTGTATTTTCTTGTAGTGGCTTGTCTGATACCTTCTTCGTTATGCCTTGTGGAATATTTCATGGTATAACCAATCAAAACCAGTGTATAGCTAGTATGATTGAAATGTATTTATACATATTATATTATATATGCTATACATTTTTTATTTTGTGAATATTTAAATATTATCTCATAAATCGTTGTAATTTTATTTGCATCATTTTCCAAAAATGAAGCCTTTATCCTGACTACAGTGCATTTCACATTACTTTACCGCGGCGGGTTGGGAAGTTTGTTCGCAAGTTCCCAAGTCGGCAACGAACTTTGGAACTTCAAGTGAACAAAGTTCAGTGAACCGTGAACTGTTTACATCTATATTTCAAAAGTTAGCTGAAATTGTATCTTAAAAAACCTCAAATGTTCCAAAACTCATATCAAAACAGGTTAACAAGATAAATACCTTGTATTGTGATAAAATCCAACTTGGAAATTAAGTTTGAAAAGCATTTCCGACAAGTTTCTGAATTCAAGATGTTATGAATTTCAAAGAGTACGCTGGAATTTCATTTTGAAGTTCCAAAGTTCCTTGCCAACTTGGGAACATCCGAACGAACTTCCCAACCCGCCACGGTAAAGTAATGTGAAATGCACTGTAAATATAATCTTGAGTTGTAATTACAAAATGTACAAATATGGAAGATATTAAAAGATCATTTTAACAACTGATTTCAATTTCCTGGTTTCACTTGATGTCATTTCTTGTCTCATACAGCATGTTGAATCAAAAGTTTTCAGTATTATAATACACTCGACAAAATTTCTGGATTCTGATTGCATAAGAGGAGTATGATTAAGTCACAAATTGTACTCTGTAGGGTCCCAATTCAATYCCTCAATTTTGTTGAGTTAGTGTATTATAAACAAAAAATYGCACAATSTTCTCATGCAATTTGGAATTTACAGATACTGTTGATGTTTTGAAAGTTCTCAAATTTGACTCACCTAAAAARCTCGTCCACTTTTGAAAACTTTCGAAACGTCACTTCTACCTATAAATTCTTAATTGTACTTGAGATCGTTCGATTTCCTACACTAATTAGGCTGACACCATGTGATGATCAGTGTTAGACCACCATTCATAACAGACGAGGGGGCTATAATTTATTATTGCATGGAGGGGGGGAGAATGTAGTGGAGTTACTTTACCTTGAGAAAGTGGTTTAGGGGGCATTATCACTATTTGAGGAGGGTTGAGAACTATTGCAGGGTGATAAAATAGGAGGGGGGGGGGGTATGCAATTGTTGCCTCTACCATGGAGAGAGGAGAGTTGTGTTATGTTGTTAAGCTTTCCATGTGATTTTGCCGACCCCCTGCAGTACTAAAATGAAAGCCTCCTAATGAGATTCAATGCTTTAAGTATATTTCAAAAAAAAAGCAAGATTGGAAAAAAAAGTAAAGAGAAACTAGTTTACTCACTCACCCCTTTCCACTGTTCTTGATTATAATTCTTTATAAATCCATGCATTGGCTTTAAACATTTCAAAAATAGACTTTATTATGAATTGTTTGGGATATTGTACATAATATTATACATTTTGGATATCTTTAAATAAGGGAATTTCCTACTTGTAGAATGCAAACCCTAAAAGTGTGCAACAAATATCACTAAATAGTGCTATTTTATGCTAATTCTATTGTTTTCTTTTGTTTAATTAGTGCTATTTACTACTAAATAGTGATAATCATTGCACACATTGCACACAGTGTTTGTACTATATTAATACCAATAAGTACTGCCATGTTATCTTAACGGTACAACTTATACATCACAGTATAACCTTGAATAATTTGCTCACATAGACTTTAATATTCTTTAACTAAGACTATCAATGCCTATTATATCTGGTGCACAAAGGCTTACCAATAATGGACCATTCATTTTTTACTGGGGAGAGGGGGGGAAGGGTGGGCATTGCAGTGAGATTCGAGGGGGAGGAGCAGGCCACCAAAAAAACCAAGGCACAAACCACTTTTACAATAAACAATGAAAAACAAGTGATGGACCATTTTTTAATGCAAAAAGGAGAGTTCAGTTTTCTTGAATGCATTTAATTCAATCTCCCCCACCTCCCATCCCCATTAAAAATAAATGGTCCTGATTGTATTGAAACCTGTGAAGTGTCATATACTCAAATACTTCAATAATATAACACATTATTTACGAATAAATTTTTGAATTTCAAGACCAGTTTTCCAATGAAAACCTTTCCATATTCTCTTGCCTCTGCTTTTCATTAGAACAATGAGAGTGTTGTCGTAGATCTGTCCTCCACTGGCAATATTGTTTTGATCATTTATTCTATATGATCTAGTATTTTACTTCTGTTAGAAAGAGGAAAAATAAATAAATGGAAGGAAAGACAAATGCGAATAGAATTTCTTAAAAACTTAAGTGACTCGTTCTTCCAGTTGATGCTAAGAAGCAAGTAAGAAGATTTCAGATCGTGTGTCATTGTCTTTGAAAATAATATACGATTCTTTGTTTGAGTTGCGTCCATATTGGTGTGTCTTCTCATGCGCAACCTTTAAACAAAGAAATAATACTCTAGGGAATGACATGGTCTGAAACGGGAAAACATTATGCATAAGTCAGTAAAGATTATGTTAACACATCACTTACTGCTCTGACAGTAGTAACCCTTCGCTCCTCGTGGACATATGCACATGTTAGGCCGAACACACTTGCCACCATTTTGACATTTTCGAAGACAACGAGCTAAAGAAAAATAAAAAATTCAGTAACCTTTTTTCTACGCAATCATTTTGAGTGTGTTATTTTACAATAAGGACATACCCTTTTCGCATCTTGAACCATACCATCCATAAGGGCAGGAGCAGGCATTTGGGGCATAGCAGTTACCACCATTAAGACAAGGACGGCTGCAGTAAGCTAAACAATTAAAGACAAAACGTTATCAGAAAAGAAAATATTGGAAACAGAACCGAAGGGCAGCTGAAAAAAAATTAGAGAAACAATGCAAAATAATTTTGGTGGACGCCAAGAATAGCAATTTAATGTGCAAGAGTGCTCCTCTACCGTAAGGGCAAGTTAAAATCAAGCACGTTTCTATGCACTATTTTTGTACTGAAACTGCAGAGTGTTGATAGGAATACCACCTCGCACACAGAACAACCTTTTGTGGTTACAAAAAGTAGAGAGCACTTGCTTCATGCCACAAATGAGAAAATTCATTGCAAGCAAGATGGTAACTTTGCAGCTTTAAATATCTCAATGCCACGAGATAAGTTGTACGCTTTGGTTGGTCAATTTACCACACAGGGATGACCTACCTCATTGTCATTGGGTAATTCAGCAGAGTAGTATAGTAAGACATTGGTTTTACTTTGGGGGAAAGTGGGGGTTAAGCTAGTCTCCTTTTGACCTTACAGGGTTTTGATTCTAAAAGCTTACCCAATATGCAACTTCTCAAATTCAGGGATATGTTTTCTCAATTTTCTTACGTTTCTCACAGTGTTTGCCTTTGAATCCTCGAGAGCACAAACATGTGTTTAGCCCAACGCATTTGCCTCCATTGATGCAAGCAGGAAGACAAGCAGCTATAAGAAACATTAACAAATACTAAATTATCAATAGATATTTTGTAATCTTTTTATTCCTAAGTTAGACTGAAGAGGGTTACCTATCTTTCAATTTTATGTGAATATTCAAATGGTTTATTTCTTCATACTTAATGAATATTAACTATGAACTATGGTTTCTTGAAGAAGGCTGTCAAAAAAAAAAACATTGAAATAGATCTCATTGAAATAGATCTTATTTACATTCATTTCCCCCATTTCTTTTCTCCTGCTATTGTGCCTTTCGTTGCTACTTTCGTTAATGCGTTTCGTTTTTCCTAACATTGCATCTTTCTTTTTTGTTTTTTTCTTTATTTGCTCCTTTTGCTGCGAATTTCGTTACCACTTTCTGAAGCGTCTAACACCATTGCAAGCTAAAACCCAGGAGGCTAAAGTACTTCTCAATTGCTTCATTTTTGTTAACAACAGCTTGAAAAACGAGCAAGTAGTCAGGAGAACTGTCTCACTGAATTGAAATGCAAAGCATGAAAGATAAAAATAGCCCAAAACCTTCCGTTTCGTCGTTACTATTTGACAACAACACATGTTACCGTGGAAACCTGTTTTCTTTTATGAAGCCATGTAGTAATACATGAGTATRCAATGTTATTAGACGCTTGGGAATAAGGTAACAAAAGGCGCAATGAAATGCGCAACGAAAGGGACAACGAAATGTGCAACAAAAGGCGCAACGAAATGGGCYACAAAATGCGCAATGAATTTAGTAATGAAAGGCGCAATGAAAAGTGCAACGAAAAGGCTAGGAGCAGCGAGAGACGCAACGCAAYGCGTAACGAAAGTCGCAATGAAACTTATAAATACTAGTCGTAATGGCAGGGGRAAAGTAGCGTTTCTTCATGGCACTTCTAACGTGTGTATAACTTGTCAATGATATTTACCTCTACAGTTAGGTGGTAGGTAACCTGGTTGACATTTGCAAACATTGGGACGAACACAGGAACCACCGTTTTGACACGACGAAGAACAAATTGCTGCAAAACGAACAAAAAGAACAATTAATACAAGGTCTATGATATAAAAAGGTGCAAAAAAATAAATGTAAGAAAAATTGAGAAATCCTGTGCGTTTCAACATGGCTTGATACTAAAAACCATCGCAGTTATTTGAAACATTTTTTTTCAACGTCGAAAGTACGCCCGTAGCACTGACAACGTCCAGATTGTCATGGTCCTTCAGAGGCGGATTTAATGGGAGGGCCACATCCTACATCCAGAACCATGTACCCACTTCAAGTGTTAGGGATTCTTTCGTAAAGGACGTTGTCATTACATTTGCTCTTCCTTGTGATGTCTATAACTTTGTCTTGTCAAATCTCGAAAAAACTCGCATCAATGAAAATATAACCCTTTTTCAAAGAGATGGAAGTGGTCTGAAGGAATAATGTAGCACTCTTAGCTGAGCCTCAACATTACTTACGTTGTTGGCATTGTTTTCCTGTGTATCCTGTTTTACATTTACAAGTGTCTGGTCCAACACATCTTCCTCCGTTATAACACTTCACATTGCAGTTGACTGTGAAAAAGACAAAGAAAATGATGAAGAGAAATGAAAAAGGAAACAAATGGAAAATGTGAAAAATGGAAAGGAAATGGGAAATAACCCCATGCAGAAGGCATTCTTCATGATCAAATGGCAACTTTGAGGGTACATTAACAAGTGGAATCGACAAAAATGGAAAATGGTAAAAACGGGAAATACATCTCAGGTTTCGCACACGACCTTTTTGACGATAAACAAACAAATAGAAAGAAATAAAAATTCCAATGAAAATACCTTTGTCACATGTAGCTCCATGGTAACCAGCCTTGCATCGACATTTGTTTTGGGTGGTGCAGAAGCCACCATTCAAACAAGGCTGTGAACAATGACCTGGTGAATTCAAATAAAAGAGAAAAAATTATATCACAAGTTTCTGGTTGTTAACCCGACCTAAAGTAGTGAAATAGAGGCTTTACAACATCACGTGATGGCAGCCATGACAGGGAGAGGAAAAATCAAATCTGGTCTAAACTGATTTACACGATAAAGAATTCAGTTTCCCAGGGCCTTTATGCGATGACGACGATCGCGAATATGTGAAAAAAACTACTGTTGGTTCTTGTCGACTATCTAGGTTCCAAAAGATTTTATCACATCGTTAACCTAAACGGGTTAACTGTGGTAATTTAAACTCGTGAGACAGACAGACAACAAATAACAGTGGTTTCACGGATAGATGTTCCCTGCTAGCAGAGTCTCTCTTCTCTTTCTCTCCCTTMTTTCAGGCGGGGAGGAAGGAGACTCTGCCGATGTAGAGCGTTTCCTTTGATACACCGCCGTCCACGATTGTGGACGAACAAAACMAGTTTTAAAACTGGTTTTTAGACGATTACATGTAGTGCGCATGTGCAAATGTAACACACCGTGGCGCCAAACATTGTTTGACGAGAGCGGCTGTCAAAATCATGACAGCGTTGCTAAGTTACGCMACRCATGCGCGACGGAAAAAACGTCCTACACCGGCAGAGTCTATTTTTCTCTCAACCAAAACAAAAGGAAAATAGGCTCTGCTAGCAGGGACGGATAGATGGCGTGCATGCACTCCATATCACTGATATCGCGGTATCACAGATTTTAAGAAAAGTCGATTTTTCACGCTGTGTGGTTCAATTTGGGTTCCCTGTGTCCAAAATTTGAAGCGACAAAGAGTCTAGGGTTATTATTTCTGACTAACCTGGACAGTCCTGTAAACTACAAGGTTTCTCTTCATCTGTTTGTAGAGCCTGTAAACATTCTTTTCGAGGTGGACTATCGTCCAGATTGACGCACATCATTACTCGTCGACGTACACCATTACCACAGGTACGAGAACACGGTGACCAGGAAGACCACTCCGTCTCCACTGAATGATGAAATAAACGATTAAATGGATTAAACGATATGCGTTTATATAGTATTGCGTGAGGTGAACTCTTTCCTCTCCTCTCCTCTCTGAATTGTACCTAAAAACAACAGTGTGGTAGCGCAGAATGAAAAAATGGATGGATGGATGGATGGATGGATGGAGGAACCAGTATTTATACCTTCATCAATGTCGTTTGACATCCCTGATCCTCCTATTTCATGTTCACCCGGATAGTAGCCACTACCAGCAATATTTCGACGATTCATTTTCTGCCGGAAAAAACATATCAGATGGTGGAAATTAACAAAAATGAGCAAACATCCAGCCCCTCCCTCATTCGCGGTCCATGGACCCTGATGAAAGCCTGTTTATCTGGTTTTACCTCGCCAGAAGGAAAAGCGTATTGCATGTATTAGGATCTGCAATGATGGATCTACGATGATTTGCTCATACTTAAAAATCAACCACACCCTAAATCCATTGTTTGATGTAGGTTCTTAAATTCTTCGGAAAACCCAGGTTCTTAAAGCCTGGGGCGGAATTGATATAAACAGGGGAGAACGGTGCTGAATTATAAACCCAGGATAGGTCTTTAATTACACGTATATATTGTAAGCACTGTATTTCCAAAAGAACAAAGCAACAGTAATCTACCTCTCTGAATTCAATATGATTTAGTATTTCGTGTTTTGCATCGAAACAACGGAATTTAGGGCTTAGTTGGTATTTTAAACCAGTTCAAACGCACAGGCTCGGTTTTGCATTAGAATTCAAGTCCGAGGGCCGCAGCCCTAGCGTTTGAACCTTTATCTAGAGAGCCAGTATACAGCTTGTTCCTCTTTAGATTATTCATTACTCTTTATTCAGTAATATTAAAAATTCCAACGGGGTATGGCATTTAAACTCCCCGCCCTGCCTGCCCCGACCCGCCCTTGCTCTTCGGTGCATTCATAAAAGGAAAATGATGAAAATCAGATTAAAAATAAATCCTTTTAAGGATTTAAAAATCCTGTGGGGTTGATAATGCACCTTACCGAAGAGAATGATGGATTGTAACACTGCTGCTTTGCCGCTTGGACATCAGGAATGAAGTACAGCTCGTCTATCTCAATCTGTCAACCAAATGTATGAGCAAATGAAGATAATGAATATAAAAGGCCTCATGTTCACGTGGAAACATAAAAGYGTTTTCACATGTATGRGAGGCTAGTCAGTCGCTAGTCAGTGCAGAACAATAGTTATTCAAATTGGTCGCCAATTCCAATAGCGCAGCGCACTGATTCTAAAAATAGCTTAAAGATTCGGACAAACATTGCATTCTGTTTAACCGCTACGAGGATTATTCGAACCGATTTTATTATTTTTACTTAAAGTTACAATAATAACCCATGTAAACTAAGATCAACTGCGATCGGCTGTGAAAAATATCTGCTAAAAGTAAACTTGTAAGTTTGTTTGTCCGAATTTCGCCTTTGTCTTCGTTTTTATGACGTCACGGTTGCGCTGCGCTATTCAGTGTGTGTATCGTCTATTTGTACGATAATCTAAAGTGAAAGTCTTAGAGACTAATTTCCTATTGGATCTTGGAGAGATTTACTCATCCTGCCCAGGAATGCCTGCATTGATTTCATAGAAGAATTCTTCCGGGGGCCAAAACAATAGACCGTCTTTTCTTTTGCCAAAAACATCCACTGTTTTGTCCCCCTGAGCAATTCCTCTTGGGACTCAGTGCAAAGGGTCTATAAGCCATGTGCCTTATTCACGCGGCAGCCATGTTGGATTGAACAATAGATTCCACCACGCGTAGCCTCAAATTCAAGCGCTTGAGAATTAATTTATGYTGGGGAAACAAAGGTTWTTATTCTCATGAGAATAAACATGGCCGCCGTGTGATAAAGGTCCATTCCGAGGTTGAAGAAAAAACTGGTTTGAGGTGGCATTGCAGTGCATCATGGGACTGTTTTAGGACATATTTCCAAGATGGCGTCTACTTCGTTCCCTAAAACAGTCCCACAAAGCACTGCGATGCCAACTGGACCAAGTTTCTCCTTCCACTTTTGCTCTAAAAGCATTTCTAACAACATCAAATTTGTTATTTTGTGCTCAAAGTTCACCTAATAAATGGAAACTGAAACGATAGTAAATTCTGGATCCGAACTTTACGACTTGAATCCAGTATTTAGACCCTTTTACCTGAACACAATGTTTTCCTTCTTAAAACCACGTGTCATTCCTTTGTTTTAGTTGTATCCATATGCATGTGTCTTCTCATGCGCAACCTTTAATCAAAGAAATGTTACTCTAGGGAATGACACGTGGTCTGAAATAGAAAAACATTGCGCACAAGTTAAAATGATCTTTCCAAGAGCCAAGATTTCGTTGGTTCCGAATTAGACCCCTTGCAGCACGACGGAATGCAGCTCAATTCGGAGAACATAAAAAGGGTTTCCAATTCTCAGGAGATTGAAATTCTTTTGTTTTGTCCTCCAAATTGAGCTCCTTTGACGTCACATACAAGTAGCCGATTTTCATTGGCATGATTAACAAATTCATTACATTTTTTGATAATTCATCTGTGATAACAATACGAGACATGACATTGTAGCTATAGTTAATAATGATTACTTACGTTTTTCTGTCCACGATCGTAATCATGGAAAGGTTTCCCCAGATGAATTGTCCCTGAATGATCCGGAGCAAAGGAAAATCGTCCCGGGAGAGACTTAACTCCAACCTTCTGACAATCCCAATACATTGTAAGCTGTTTCGCCTGAAGACTAAAGGTAGCACTGTGCCATCTATTTAATGAAATTTCCACGTCAAAATCCAACGACCATTGCCGGTGCGCAGAATCYGTGCTCTTGGCCAACTCGAAGGTCAAAAATCCWGACGCTAAACGAAGGCCAAATTGGAGYTTATTCGCGAARTCGTATAAYGCTAGCAGGTAAATGTCGGTGTATTGCACAGGGCGGAACGTTACGGAGATTGAATACTCGTCGGGGAAGAAGTTCTGAAATATTTTAGAGGTCGGCAGTGAGAGAGCTGTTGCACCATGTAAGGTCACGTGTCTAGCTATTCTTGTTCGTGTTCTGATTGGCATGACTCTGTTTGGTTGGGGACTGAAGTATTGGCCAACATTCTTGAT